TGGTTGTCTACACAGGTACTACCTCACTTGAACTAGGTTTGTTTGGCCGAACAACCCCATGCACAACCCTTATTCTGGCATTAACATCTTTGATTTTATGATCTTTTCGTCATCATAACAGCGACTTCATTACTTCAGCATGTGCTTTCATTGACTATTTAAACAGCTGACCAAGATTAATTGTTATCTCCATACCAGCAATTCTTTTTAGTATATCGAGTTCGTCCAACAGCTCTGCAAAAGATATATACATCACATTATTGAGACATTTTGGACTCTTGTTTTCAGTGATATACTTATTCATTTTTCATTTTTTATTCAAATATTCTACTGATTCAATTGTGGTATCTTCTCTTTTTCTTTTGACAACTGGTCTTATATCATATCCTACACCATCATCCAATAATTCTGCTTTTAAATATTTACTGGTGATTTTTGGCCTTATTTCTGTAAATTCAACCATTCTTATATCAACGTTATCGAATTTGAGGGCATTTTTGGACTGCTCAGTACCCTTATTCTGTTTTGGACACTCTTTCACAATATGTCCTACTTCTTGACACAGGTAACACATTTGGGGCTTGGTGGTACATGGTTGACTTGGTCTCTTATTCATATCTTTAATTGTCTTAGTCACAATGTTCTGAATGAGATTCTCAACTTGATCATGCTTAGATTGGTCTTCCTGATTCACACAGTTTATTTTCAAGGCGGCTAATTTGGTCACAAGACTGTCAATGTCAACATCACTCTTATTGATATTAGATGTAGTGTCAGGTGAAGTTGGATCATTCTGCTTGTTATAGCTTTTATCCCTATTGTATTCTTCCATCTCTACTGCTTTCTTTTTAGTCTTGTCATAATTCTTAAGATAGCAATCTTCTATCTTTGAATGATAAGGTTCATTTAATCTTCCGATATACCAGTCATGTTTTTTATCAATTCAAATTAGTTCTTTACAGTTTTAGCGAGGGCTTTGTATCAGTTAGTATACTCTTTTACCGACTCTTTTTCATCTTGTTTGAGTGTTTTAACCGTAATCTTCATTTCTAATTTATTTTCTCTTTTCACCTTTTCAATGATTTTTTGTTTCAGATCTTTTTATGTCTTTTTGGTTTTTACTAATTCATGCACCCACATCCTCATACATTCCAGCATATGCATATATACCCTAAAACAGATTGTTTCCTTATCATATTTCTTGGCCTTTGCATATCCTTTATAGTCAAAAGAAAGTCTTCAATATCATCGATTACTGCTTCACGGTATACAGGTATAGTTGTATCCAAACTCCTCATCTTAGTAGTTACTTCACTTTGTCTTTACTAATATCTTTTGTTTCCTTTGCAATGATATTTTCTTCTTATGAGTTTATACACTACGGTATTGCTAGTTCAGATTTTAAGGCTCACAGTTATTAATAGGTTAGTAAGTCTTGTTTTTATTTTTGATTTTGCACTTTCAAGATTACTGATTCTAAACTTTATTTTCTTGACAATTTTCCTGATATCTTTTGTATTATGTTGATTACAGCTTTTCTTGATGTGTTTACTATGACTCTTCTCAATACGTTCGTTGTGGCTTCACTTAATATGTTCGTTATAACTTTTTCTAATATATTCATTGTGGCTTTACTTGATATTTTCATTATAACATTTCCCAATATGTTTATTACATCTTTACTTGGTTCATTCATTTCAACTTTCTTCAATGTATTTATTATAGCTTCTTTCAATGCGTTTGTTACGTCTTATTTTAATATATTTGTTACGGCTTTACTTGGTTAGTTCGTTATATCTTATCTTGTGAGAGATGATGAGATTGTCTAGGTTCTTCTCTGATGTAGGATTAATAAGTTACTTAGGCACTTAATTCTAGTAGATGGTTTAATAATTTATATATTGTTGTACTTGTTTGGCATAATACTTTGGCTTTTGTTCCCCTACTATCATCTCCTTTACAACGTCCTCACTACTACTCAATTAGTTAGTCACTTGACGCTATCTCTTAGGTTAAAGTTTCTTAACGAAAAATCAAAGTTTGAAATCGATCTTCTAGATCGAACCTCTTATTTATTTATTTTTGATCATGTGAAATTACATCATTCATCTTATTATGCTATACTTCTACAGACTTTTACATTATTATTTCTATTACTAATACAATGCAGAATAAACATTATATTGTAACTAATTTGTCATAAAGTTACACTGACTTCTTGATTGCATCGATCTTATTAACATACATATACCCTTGTATATCTACCCCTGCACATTAGTCACATAGTACCAATTATATTCTGATAATATCTAATAGTATGTCTTACTTTTTCTTTCTCTGATTCAAAACTTTTGTTATTCTTTCTACTGCAATAACTTGGATTCTGTCTTTTCTAACTGTACTCTTAGCCATATAAGATTTGGTCTGTTGAATCCAATCTGCTAATAGATCTTTTTTCTTCTTTTTCTAATTTTTGCTATTGATCTGGGTATTTTTTCCACTTGACAGATACAAAGCTTCTATTGCCTAGTCTATTATGTCTCTCTGTATATTCTTGGCTTGTATGTCTTCTAACTTTTTCTCTTCTACCATGGCTGTTCTTGACAATCTTTGTCTTGATTCTTCTGTAATCTTATTCAGAGCTTTTCTTTCTATTTGGCCTTCTTGGTTTTGACCCTTGATTCTTTGCTCCAATGTTTTTT